ACAGCAACCGGATGGTCAAAATCTGTACCACACATAAAAGCAGAGTGGGAGATAAAAACAGATGAAGAAAGAAAGCGAAAGGGATGCATTAGTTAAGAGTCTGAAGCAGCTTTAACATTCATCTTGGCTAAAGATTATTCCAGAGCTATATTGTACAGTAGTGTGTGCTTGATATTTCTCTTTAGTTTGCTTTTATATGGAGAGAAGGAGGGGAGCAGTGTTGTTTGCTTCAATCATTTATGAAGACCACTCTTTACACTCTTTATTCTGTCTGGGAGTGGGACATGTCAAATACGCTTAGTTTGCTTTTATGATGCTGTTTAGCTGCTCTTGTTGTGACAGAATAAGGCTAAGAGGAAATTTTTTCTCCTCCATCCTAAAACATCAGAAAAATCTTTGAATTCTTTCTGGTGCCAAGAAAGAAAATGCGCCTCTGTTGTCTCTGTCAGTACAAAATGTAAAAGCATATGTCAGTTCCGTCAGCCTGGAACGGGCTTTGTAACAAAATTGTTTACAGAGCCTCTTGAATAGCCTGATCAAACTTTTATTACTTGTGCTAAAATGACTGCATCAGCAAACTGCTGCTGGGACATTCAATTACTTTTAAAGTTTTATGAGTAAAACAGAGCCTCAACGAAGCACAGGTAATTTTATCCAAATACCATTATCTATTTAAACCCTTATTATATTTTCTCAGTATCAGTAATTATTTTAGGCTCAATCATACGACATCTATTTTGGTACTTTGTCTTATGAGTTAGAAATATTTTATATTTTCTAAAAAGCATGAAGCAGATTAAATATTAAATCTAAACCAAATACTCAGATGTAAATTTAAAAAACAGTAAAATCAGCTTTATTTATTTATGCACATGATTTGCAAATGTTATGTCTTATCACTGCATTCAATTTACAAAGTTGATTGTTCTAAATATATACAAACAGAAACATACCAGAGAATCCACCAGATGTAACCTGTTTGCACTTATTTTTGCATCAGGTCATTGCTGTTTACAATTCACACACATATAGATCTACAGTAGACACAAAACCTTGCATAATCATCTGCAAACTGCAAACAAGCACAGTGAGTTAGGATTGCATGAGTTAGATGACATAAAGCATAAATTTAAAGTGGATAGAAAATGATTATTTTTTTTATAATACAATCTAAAAAGTGTCCCACGAACTTGCAGTCAATCATTTATCCTGATATTCCAAACAGAATTTAGAACAGCCACTTTTTCATTTAAAATTACATTACTGAGTTTTCTAATGAAACTATACCGCCACCTCTGGCCAAAGCATAGAACTGCAGCACTCTTCTGCTTCTTCCCGCACCTCGCATTTTTTATTTTAGTTATCTATTTTTTTTATGTTTTTCACCTTACCTGGAGTTGCCATTGATATCTAAGTTAAGCTGATGCTGGTCCGTTTTGAGTATCTAAAAAAATCTACTTTGAATATAGCTTTTCGATTGTTTGCTAGGTCGGACTATTAAATATTGACATTCTTGACATAAAATCTTACCACAGAAACTTCCAATCTGAAGTAAATTCAGAAAAATAGGCTAGAGGCTTAAAGATGCATCATTGGTGCTGAACTATCTTACATAATATCTTTCTAAGACCAATAGTAAAGTTAAGTACAGAATGCTATCTGTGCAAAAAAAAAAACCCACCATGACATACCAAACCCCGAGCGGAATACCGTGCTGGCAGTATCATGCTGTGGGGATGTTTTCTTGAATGGTGACTGAAAAGCTATCCTGACTTGATGGGAAGATGGGCGGATTTAGAAACAGGGCAACCCTCTAAGAAGATCATTTTGAACCTTCTAAAAACTATTACCAGATAATGGCTCTAGAAATAGGCAACTGGTTTAGAAAGGGACAGGTGATAAAACAACCCAATCATAGTCCAAACCTAAACATAATTTAATAATGAATGGACATGCAATGCATGCTTTTGCTTTTTATTTTTCTTTCTTTTTCCAAGCTATACAAAACATAATTTGCTTTGAGCTACTTTGGGTTGTTGCACATGGAAATTATAAAGCAAAACTTACTAAAGTTTGGGAGTTTTAAATACATTAAAGTTGGGGGGTTTAATGTGACAAAGTACTCTTTTAAGGCACCGTTGGGATATCTCACTCATTTGGAGCCTGTGTCAACAAAAGTCTCTCATCTAAAATAATCTGCTGGCATCTTTTCTGCCTCATTAAGAAGAACAGTCACCCCATATGGAAGCTAATTAAGGTGTCAGAGTAGATAGCATCGTTTCATTTTGACACATTAACAAACACAAGATGATTTGAACTCTTTAGTTTTCATACAATTTTTAACATTGTTTAGCAGTTTACAAAAAATACTATCATTATTAACAGCTTTTGGGGATTTTCAAGAAATGGATAAATGCAATTAAATATATAATAATGAAAGAACTGTTTTCTGTATCGTTTCACTTATATAAGCAGATAAAAAAAAGCTACTGTTGGTTAAACATCAAATCATTTCAGGATAGCTGTAACATCAGAGCCTTTTCAACATTTATTTTGTCAAAACCTGTCTAGATTATTTTATGCCTTGCAGCAGTGAGAACAATTTCTTTTCTTAGATTCATATTTGAAAAAAAAATGCAGCTGAAAATATGGATTGTATTTGTTCCTTTAGAGACTCTGTGCAATTAATTACAGTAACTGCATAATCACATAGCATGATGTAATTGATCATTGCAGTTTAATTTGGCTAGTGGAGGCTTTGCAAAAGTTTGACATAGGCAAACATGATAGAGGGATTTTTATTTATGTGCTTTAACTTTGCACTCAAGGCAAGTCTTTGCTCTCTGTTACTGGAAAGAAATAGGATAAATCAGTGTTTTTGCTTTGAATTTATTTCTTCCACAGCCTTATTTTATCTAATAAGATAGTTCTTCAGAGATTGGAGTAGCTGACATGTTACATGAAATTTTTCGGTTTCATAATTCATTTTATCTTTCTGGAGTACTCAGATTTATTTCACACATTTATTTGGTTTACTCAAAATTCACTGCTGAACATTTACCTTATTGAGTGGTGACATTTTATTTGATTGAAGTACATGATGATGTTTTTTTATCTCTGTACTATTCATTAAAATAGTGGGACTGAATACGAGTGTTTAGATTCCACGGATAACCTATTCATAGCTCTCTGTTTTCTTTATCTACCTTTTTTATTTGCTTTCCTTCTTTATATTGTGGCAGTGTCTACATATTTCCACCTAATTGGCAAACAGACATCTTCTACCGACTGCTCTGTTTTATTCTCTGATTCTACTGCCAGCAGGGTGTAACTCTTTAATTCAGTTTTAATAAACTGGCTTCCTGTAAGCTTCCAGTTACTGCTCTCTGAATTTTTTTTGTAATGCACCCCCAAAAAAGCCCCCTGTTCCCAATTGTAAATAGATTTTCTAAGGTTTATATTCCTAGTTATATGTAATATCAACCCTTTAGCTGGGCTTGTTTAAAATTAATCTCACTATTATGGGTTTATTGTTGCTTTGCAGGTCTGCTACCACTGAAGAAAAGAAACAAATGATAATCCCTTCTTTTCAGAAATTATCACTGGAATATAAAAATAAAGCAACCTAACAGAGGGGGTTCTAACATACTAGGTGAAGCACATATGGAAAAAATGACATTTTAAAACTGAATAAGTCTTTTATCTATCCAGGTTGAACTAAACAGCACCCTGTAGATCAAAATTAAAAGGATAAGTACAGAACTGACAGGTATTGTTCTAGTTTCTAATGTTTACGAATGACTTCTTGTAAAAATAAAAGAGAAGGCTAACAAATAAACCCCCAAAAAACCTGATTCTTAAGGGGCAGACCCGTTCTTCTGGTTCAATTAGCCTCTTTTCTAAGTCAAAATAAGTTTTTGGGATACTCCATAAAGCTTCGACATTTTGAATTGAAAAAAGCTTCATGGATGGGAAGCGAAATGTCTACAAACTTGGAAATCATGTCCAGTCGATTTTTTTTTCACCTTTTTGGTCTGGCCACTATGCAAATTTATAATAAAAGAAGGTTTTTTTTTTTTTTTTTTAAATGACCTGCTGACTGTGTTTTAGCTTACTTTAATTTTAAAGTTGAAATTCCTTTTAGATAGTTTTTTTTTTTTTTTTAATCTTAAACTGTATTAGGTTGAAAAAGGTTAATAACTGAATAAATCATTGTCATGTTGAAATTGTGACTGCATCCAAACACCTGTTACTTCTCACTTTCTATGTCTGCCTATCAAATCATAATAGTATCTTTTCAATAAGCAATTATCTCTTTTAGAGTCACTTTTTTGACAGCTTCTATAGAATCAAAACATGCTTGCATTGAATTTATTGGCAGTAACAATAGCCAATAGACAAGAATTTAATTATATACCTGAAATACCGCATAACTAAGTATTTCCATAAGCAAGAAGAATTGTTAATATAGATCATTACCCAACCATACTGATAGTTGCAAAATATGTTTCCAACTTCATAGAAAGGTTTTGATTCTTTTCATACCTTTATTATGCCTGCTACTGCCGAATACTTGTCACTTGCTAAATGCAAAACTTGGCTCTCACCCTTGTTTAGGTTTATTCCTTTATGTAGGTTTTAACTACTTTGATATGGAATGCTTTATTTAAACCCTTTTTACTTATGCCATTTATAAAAATTGTTTGCCTTTAACTGTCTGCTATCATCAAAGTTGCTCTCATTTTTATTTAGTTTTTCTTTCACACCTTAAGGCTTCATTTGATTCTTATGTGTTATTTCTCAACAGTTTCCATTGTAACAAGGCTATTACTCAGAGTCAAAATTAATTTATTGGCTATAATAAAAGGAGAGTTAGAATCACGCAAGAAGAAAGCCTTACACTTTGTTAAGCACAATTTTGGTCGCCTACAGCTTGCAGGATTTTATAGTTCATTGGACTATGCCATGTTTGACTAATCAACTTTTTATTCTACCCTTAGGTCCAAGAGAAAAGAACAGCATTGGTAAAACAGCATTAAGTGGAGACAGGGACCTCTTCACACAATTACCCACACATGACACAGAAAGTGAAGTCCATTCAGTCACCACTGTCTCACCGATGAGCATGCCCAACCACCAGCCTATCCTGAAGGGTCTGCTGCTCCATGAGCACCTACTTACCAGAGACTTCCAGGGGGACCAGCATTTTTTTAGGAGGGATGGGTCAGTGGCTGGATACCCCACCATGCCAGGCTTTGTTTCTGCTCCAAATTCGGGGGATGCTGTCACTCAAATCGTGGCCCACGAGGATGCCCCAGCCTTTTCAGACATTGCTACTACTTCTACTGAGCCTGCCACCACTCCACTGACAACACACTTTCCAACAACGCCAGGGCTGCCAGTATCTCTCTCCCAGAAAAAATCAGCAAAGATAAAGGATTCTGTAAATTTTGTGCCAACAACTGATTCCCTTACTACTCAAGTGACACCATACAGCAGAGGCCAGGGCTACCCGGCCACACCCTTATCCCAACGGGAAAAGGATGTTCCCCTTAAAGCCACAACTGGCCCCTCTTCAACAATTGTGGTGGAAGAAGAGGTCGGAGAGAAAACAAACCCTGACCATCTGATCTCCAAGTTTTCTTCACCGTTTAATAAAGGCACCAGTACGGCTTCTACAACTGTCATCACAACAACTACCATCACTACCATGCAAACATCAGGTAGGGATGTGGATTATTTCATTTGACCTTCAAATGTCCTCCACAAAAACAGAAAACAGAATTAACATCTTCTATCTTCACCTTTAACCAGTAATTTTAATGGTTCAAGGCTTAACCCGTTCCTCCCAGCAGGGAAGGAATTACGCATTGGGTCATCAGTATCACACTGTGTTTATTTTTTTATTCTGCTCACAGCTCCCTATTCATATCACCACCAGGGATAACGGAGTTGCTCATGTGACAAAAACAGTCCAATTTTTTGTATTTTCTGATGTGTCCTGCCTGTCCTTTCCACTGGTCACAGAGGGCTGAGGGCTCAGATAAGCGGTATCAAAGAGGATATCTGCCGAGATAGCTAGAGGGTTATGGGGGCATGCGGAGACACAGGTGGGCTGTCAGAAAGATCAGTGGTCTGGGAAAAAAGGAAATCACTTTTATTTTTGCTCTCTCCAACAGAGCCATGCAGCATGAATTTCACTGAGTCTGAGGGTAACATTGAAATCCAGCAGCACGTTGACCCTGGGGTGGAATGCAACTACTTGATTACTGTCTACCTAGGATATGGCATTGAAGTTCAGGTGAGTGCTGTAAACTTTAAGTACATCAACATTTTCATTAATTGTTTTTGTAAGTTCCAGTGAAGTCCCCAAAGTCTGGGACTTGAGTGTTTAACTTAAATTTTTGCTTCTCTTGCGGGGAAAACACAGGCTTTAGAATAGAGCTACTGTATATGTATGGGCATTTTTTTCATTTTTATCTTTTCCTAATCGGAAAGGAACATCAGCTACATGATCCGCTGTAAATGTTTAAAGTTTTGTACATAGTCTGTAGAGGGGTGTGTTCAATTTATTATTAAGTAAAAACATAATATTTGGTCATAGGAATAGAAGTTTTCTCATATTAGCTGTACCTTCTCAAAAATGATGGCAGTCTCTTAAAATGGGGTTGACAATTCTCACTTTAGGTCCTTTTAAATAATAAAAACCATGATTTTCTTTTACAAAATGATTTTTTTTTTTTTTACAAAATGAAGTTTTGACTTTTCAGAATAAAGACACACTACTGAACAATAAGATAATAGGGCATGTTAAAAAAGTGATTACACATCTACTGGTCTTTGAACAATACCACTTCCTGTTTAATCAAACCTTGTCCAAAATTATTTACTGAACATAAATCTCTAGTTCTATTACAAATTACAAATTTTCATCCATACATCTATAATCTCTTATATTTGTAGTGTCAATGAGGGGTAGGGGTACAGCCTAGACTGGTCAGTTTGACACATACAATAAAACTGTTATTAACTAAAATTAAATATTATATTAATGATCTTAAATGCTAATGAGATAAATTAGATATAAATATAAAAAAATGTAATTCGTATTCATAACCTGCAGCACTAGAGTGGATCAATAGATGGTACTGATTTGATTAGAAAATGTTTATAGAGAGAATAAATTTTTCTTAAGACTTGTTTCTTAAATACCTCATATGCACTTGGAAAAAAATATTTGGGAACATTTCAGGTATATTCATATGCACAAAGCTATATTAACTTTTTACAAAAGTGTTTAAAATAAACTGCAAGCAAGACTCTGAGGTGTAACATGAAAATATATTATGTATTTAGTTTTTTTTTTTTTTTTTTTTGCCAGTGTAAACTTTTTCTGTTCTCTGTCAGCCTAGAAGGAATTATCCAAAGGCCTTATTCAGCAATTATTTGATTAATTTTGTTGCAGGGCAAGAGGGGAGTGTTATGTATGTCAAAAGATGTTTTTGGTTCCTGTGAATTCAACTGACAATGACCTAAAAGGCATACCAGAACACAGTAAACATTATAAAATTAATTTGTAGAACAGTTAAGAAGGGTTAGAGAAGCTTAGCTAGTATTTGGTCCTTATGCAAACATCTTATAAACGGAGACCCTTTGCACTACAGTGGTTTATTCAGGGAGCGAACAGCCTGACCTGACTTATTCTAGTTTAGTTTCAGCTGAAAAAAGATTTGCTGGTGTTTTGTCACTTGATGGTGACAGACAGGCTGCGAATTTACTGGAGTGAGTGGGTGGATGGGGGCAGAAGAGATGGGGCCTCGTCTGAGGTTGAATGTTTGCTCAGTAAGGCTCTTCACAAAAGGTTATAAAAATTAACTGTCAGTGTGAGCATGTTCCTCGGCATTTGCAATTCCTCAAACGCTTCATTTACCACCGGAGACTTTAAAATGCACAAGCTTTGTCTTGCTGCCTCTGGAGAGGTAAGATAAGTCTTGACAGAGTATATGTTTGAGAGTGTGCTTTTCTCCCAAGGCTTTCTCTGGGTAAGTTAAGTAAATTTTAAACTGCTTATGAGTAGACACACACTCACCTGCGTGCACCCTTACATAGTCACCTGTATTTGATGTATCAGCCTTTGGCTTTCTCAGCCTCTTGTGTATTTGGTACAATATTTCTTTCATTACTTTATGAAAAAAAGTTTAACCACACTGCCTGAAAACCCAGAAGAAAGTCAGTCGTTTCAAATACTAAGGGAACAGATGGGGGCTACTGCGTGCCTCCTTCTAACATTGAGAGGAGAAATTTATCTCAAAGCAGGCTGTGAAAAGATTAATTCTTTGTTATGGAAGGAAAGCATATGTTTATCATGAATAAATGTGTTATCCTCAGAGGTAGTTTGGATGATATAAAGCCACTCAGGGCTCACTTTTTTAAGCAGATGACCAGTGTTGTACCAACTCCTATGGCTGAATGTGAGTCACTCTTCGTAGTTATGATTACAAGCCTACAAACTAGCACAACACATTAAGAACTAATGCATATATAATTAACTTTCAAAGACATTTATTTTGATCAAATCAGGAACACGTTTCCCCTATGGAAAACTATAATTTAATTTGTAAAAACTGCACATGCAATTTAATATGATATATAACTCACAAACAGTTGTGCAGCAAATTAGTCATTTAAAGGATTGTTGTGGCAATTTTTTATTTTTTTTTTTAACAGGGAGCACTCTTAGATATGTTTTGAAAGAATTAACAGTTAAATCACACCTAATAAGAATCCACTACAAATAGAAGAGAATATCCTTTTTCGTAATTTGTAACAAGTATATCAATGAGAACAGCCGTCTAGTTCATGCACCATTACTAAAATATCAACAGAAAACATACCAAAATAAAAGCAGCAAGGTTAAAAATAAATAAATAAATAAATAAATAAATAAATAAATAAATAAATAAATAAATAAATAAAATCAAAATGGATAAAACAACAAAATTACATTTTGATATACCACCAACCCTGGTAAGCATATGGCATGTGCATCTTTCAGCAGTAATGGTGGAAATTGCCGTCAGATAGAGGCTGTACTTTAAACTTTACCTTATTATTTTGTGCTTTATATTTAGGATACAGATCCTTGAAAAATATTGTAAAGCCCTTGAAATTTCTCTCATTTTGCCATGTTACAACCACAATAGTTAATACATCTAAATTGAGATTTTATGTCATAAACTTACTAAAATAATGGAAAGAAAACTGATGCCCATTTTTCACAATTTTTTATATGAAAATCTGAAGGCTGACATTCATTTTTACTCAGCCTTCCTTAGTCAATTGATTTTAGAACCAACGTTCACTGCAGTTAAAGCTATATGTTTTTTTGGTATACAATGTCTTTAACAGCTTTGAACTTTTAGAGATTGAAATTTCAGCCAATTCTTTGCAAAATTCAACAACTCAAGCATTTTTCAATGCCACAAATTTTTGAACAATATAAGTTCCTAAATTTGGCTGTGATATTTTTACATGCTTTGATCAACACTATTACATTTTAGCTGTTGCTGTATATATAGGAACAGATCAAGACAGTTGTGTTTTGATCTCATCTAACTAAAACACCTTTGACTTCATGTTTGCTAGATCTTCATGGTTGGTGGCAAACCTCAAACACAACTTGTGATGGCTTTCTTTCATAGCTCGACCACTTCTGTCTCTTGCTATATACTGTATCACAAGAGTTGTCATATTCTACTCCCTTGAGGTGGATATAAGAAATATTCAGGAATGGGAACCTTTGTACCTCTGTGAAAAATTTTATATATGTAGGATGATATTTATATACATTCTGATTATTTTCACAGTGCTTGTAGGTTGCAATAAAAGATATATGACTGCCATATCTTAAAGCTTTTAAGCTTTTAAATACAACATGAGATACAGGACGTACACAAAAAAATCAGTTGTGCTAAAAAAGAGTAACTTTTTTAGGACCAGCAGAAATATAATAGAAATTTGTTTTACTGCCAAATAAAGCTTGATGAAGATTGTGGCAAAGATGCTACTGCATATGGATGAAATAATTATTGATTCTGTATAGGGCAGGGAAAGCTTTGTAGAAATATCTATAATGTCTAGTAAGGCTGGCTGCCCCTTTTCTCAAACACTAAACAAGCAGAGGCCTTTCCCCTATAGTAAGAACAGTGAAAAATGTATTGTATTAGATCTCAAAAACTTAACCCCTCGGAAAAGAAAAAAAATTATTCAATAAAGAATCCAGTCAAGGCTACCAGCCTTGCGATAGTTCCTAAGTTCAATCAGTCTCCTCGGTCTTGGTCTTATAATTTACAGTGCCAATCACAGGCTGACATTTCACTGACAACTCTGAGGTGATGAGCTGTAGGAAAGACATTATGGTTGAAGCGCATGTTCATAGTTTGGCAGCAAGCCTTCGTTATGGAAAGGGGTTCTCATTATAGCTGACAGTCCAGCAGTTTGCAAGGGCAGAGCATGATAATTAAATTAACAAATTAATCTAGAGGACAGATGTGAAGACTGAAATGAATATTTTCAGGGTTTTTTTTATCATTACTGTAGTTTACTTAGACGTTTGACAGAAAAATAAATGTTCACACTTCTAGCGCTCAAAGATGCTCTAAAGTGAATTCAAAAATATGTCTGACAAATAAACATGATGAGACAATTCCTGCATTTAGCCGACATTATTTTTAGCAGTCTGGCAGCTTTTGGGAGAAGGAGCGAGGGTGATAAATGGAGAGGGAGAATTTACTGCCCTCAGCCTTGCTTCTCTACTCTTCTCACAGCAATATAACACATTGCTCCAGCTGGTGTTTCTGACCGCTTTATGATTTATTTGCAGAATTATTGTGGGAATATTAAGAGGCTGATATATCATACAGCACAAAGATAAATAAAGTTATAAATAGTTGAACCTTTTTCTTTTAGAGATATTGCCTTTTTTTAGTTCTACCTAAATTTTGTTAGCAAATAAATTTAGTGAAATGAAGATATTAGTCTAGACAAAAGTCATATAGTCATAGTTGATATTAGTATATTTTCGAAGCTGGTCAAGGTTAGCAATTGCAAACAGCAACAGGGATAATTAGAAACATAGATGTGAAATAAATGTATTTCTCGATTTCAAGCGTGTTGTGTAGGTTAAAATTTATGCATAATATAATGTTTCCCTTTGAAAAAAAAAAAAAAAATCCTTTGGAAAAAAAAGGAATAATGAAGATCAACAGCGTCCAACAATCTTATTGTTCAGGAAAGAAATTG